GTTGTTGTGTAGAATAAAAGAAAATGACACTTCAGAATGATTTTTTTTGATTTTTTGGTCAACTCATGAGGCACCCACTTACCGAGCTTTTTCACCTTTCCAGTTTGCTTCAAATGCCATGCGACCGTAGAATGGTTGATGTTGACTTCTTGGGCAACTTCTTGTGTAGTTGTAAGAGGATCAGCTTCAATGATGGCTCTTGGTTGTTGTCAGCTTCCCACGGCTGACTCCCGTGCTCCTCATCTTCAAGGTTCTTGTTTCCTTTGCAAAATTTCTTGAACCACCGCTGCATTGTACATTCATTAGCGGTTTCTGGGCCAAATGCTTTGTTAATGTTGCGAATTGTCTCTGCTGCTTTACGACCAATTTTGAACTTTAATAAAAAAATCGCTCAAATGTGCTTTTTGTCTAACATTTCTGTAGTGTAAAATAAATACAAAATAAACAAGTAATGTCGTTAGCAAAAAAAAAATAAAGTGAGAAATGTGTATTAAGATGATGTATAACATAGCCACATTTATTTAAGAATATATTCCAGTATCAAACAGGAAAGTTCAACAATGCAAAACTGCAATTACTTTTGTACCAACCTAATAACTCTAACTAGATAACTTCAGGTTTGTTATTGAAGGGATAAGAAAAGAAGGAAAGGGAACTGACATTTATTGAATATAAGCAACATGCTTGGAGACCCTGTGTAAGGTGTTTTATATCATTTTTACCCTATTCCTCCCTATACCCCTATGAGATAATTATTAGCCCCATATTATTGTTGAAAACATTGTACTTGTATATTTGTACTCAAAGTCTTTGCAGTGTGTTTCCAGTGTAATGCTGTGTGATTTGACCCTGATCTAAGGTGTATGTTAAAGTCGCTCAGTCGTGTCTGACCCTTTGCAACCCTATGGACTATACAGTTCATGGATTTATCCAGGCCAGGGTAGCCTTTCCCTTCTCCAGGGGATTGTCCCAAGCCAGGGAATGAACCCAGGTCTCTTGCACTGCAAGCCGATTCTTTACCAGCTGAGCCACCAGGGAAGCTGATCTAAGGTATTTGTTTCTAACTCATGTCTGGCTTGCCCTTGTGGGAGAGGCTGTATAATTCATTGTAAGCCTATGTATATTCCATATAAAAATGCCTCACAGGGATGTTGTGTGAATTTGAGTAATGATTCAGAAGTAAGTAGTTCACTTTTTATGGTGCCAAGTGTTAAAAAAAAGCACTGTTTTGAAACTAGTCAAGGGTTTAAAAGCTATTAAAATTGAGCTTATAAATATTAATTTAAACGAAACAAGCAGTTACGTAGTTTGCTAAATTGTAAGTAAGACCAAAAAGTTTAATTATGTAAACTTTTCCAAAACAGGAATTTAAGAAATGTGAAAGCTAAAGCTTCAGTTTTATGCAAGTTCATCCTTCATGCTGTGACTAGAGATATTTTTCTGAAATGCTTGTTCTTACGGCTAAAATCTTAGACTCCCTATTGCTTACAGGTTCAAGTTCAGATGCCACAGTTTGGCTCCAGCTACTCTTTGGGGCATTACTTTATGATACTCTCTTCCTTCACCCTTTGCCAAGAATATTCCCTTCCACTTTCTTCTTCTACAGTTTTCAGTTGGGTGATTATAGATATGAAAGACCAAGCTGGTTTATGTCCCCTGCTCTTCAGAGCTTTCCATGACTACCCTTTACAAAGGGAATGCTTCTTTCCTTTGTGTTCCTTTAACGGTTTTGATTACATTTATTATTTTAAACCTTTTAAATTCTTTTTTAAAAAATTTATTTATTTATTTTATTTATTTATTTTTTCATTTATTTTTATTAGTTGGAGGCTAATTACTTCACAACATTGCAGTGGGTTTTGTCATACATTCACATGAATCAGCCATGGAGTTACATGTAAATTCCTGTTGTTTTAGGCTAGAAATTACCTTTATTTTTTTTTTTTTCCTCACTACCTATCACAGTCTGTTCTGTCCCTCCCTTTCCCCATTACCTTATCTCTTCCTTTTCTTTCTTCAAACAAATGTTTATAGAGAATCCACTGTGTGCCTCCTCTGTTCAAGGCACTTGGTGTTTATTGAATGAGTGGGAAGAAGTATGAAATCCTGGCCAGGAAAACTTTAGCTGTGTTATTAGCCTGTTGTTTTAATCATTCTAAGCATGAGGATAATAGGCCCTTGCCATTTAACATTGAAATGGTCTATTGCTTTCACCAACTTGTGTGGGACTATTAAGGGAAAACACAAATGATGGTCATTTTTGTTTTGTGTGATTTTGATTCAGATCATGTTCAATACTGAAATCTATTCTTGGCTTTGCTTTGTCAGTAGAGACATGACTTCTGACAATGTTGATTGCAGCATTGGAAATAACCACATGCCTATTTGCCTATCCAAGGTAACAGCTAATTTGAGCCAGATAGAGGAGAGTAATTTTATTACTGTTTGCCATTGGAGTTGGCATCTGGTAAAAGTGGGTGTATGTTTGGAATAGTATTTAGGTGAAAATGTACTGCTTCTAAAATACCTCTCTGAAGAGAATAAAAGTAAGTATTCTTTATAGAGCAAATACCCTCTGCTAACAATTAACAATCCTCCAAGGTAGATGGTGGTATTTCCATTGATGGATGAAGAAGTAAAGGCCTGAGGTCGCAGAGCTAGTTAAGCAGCAAAACTAAAATTCAAACTTAGCTCTGTCTGACTGGGACCATGCCTGTTTCATTATGTTACCATCCTGCCCTTACATCCTCATTCTCAGTCTCAAGTCCAAATTGGAGAGAGTGAATGTATCATGGTAATTTGAATTTGTGATGCCAAATTACTGAATTGCTTGATCTTTGGCAGGTAATTTAACATTTCTCATCCCATTTTTTTCACATGGATAATACTGCTTGCCTCCCAGGGTTATAATGAAGAATAAATGAGCTGATGTATATGAAAATACATTGTGAATCAAAAAGCCCTATATTGATATTTGGTGTATTTTTAATGCTGTCCTTATTACACACTTAAACATACTAATTCTGGTTCCTGAATATTTCTTTGCTGTTGTCCTTTTTAACTAAGCCACTTAGTCAGTCAGTGTTGGTCGCTCAATCATGACCAACTCTTTGAGACCCCATGGACTGCAGCCCACCAGGCTCCTCTGTCCATGGAATGCTCCAGGCAGGAATACTGGAGTGGGTAGCCATTCCCTTTTCCAGGGGATCTTCCTGACCCAGGGATCGAACCCAGGTCTCCTGCATTGCGGGCAGATTCTTTCTCATCTGAGCCACCAGGGAAGCCCACTAAACCACTTAGCAACCTGTAAAGTACCATAGTGACTGCATTTCTTTATAAAGAAAACTTATTTTTTATATATAAAGAGTTTACATATACATGTTTATGTATAAAGAGTTAAGATAAAACATTAGAACAATACAGTTTTTACCATTATGAAGAACTAAGCATACTTAGCTATTTAGAATTTTCTTTTCATTTCTCGTGTTTCCTTCTACACTACAAACTCACTTTTTTTCCTTTGAATTATATCCTAAGTTAAGGTTGCAATTTTATAATGGCTTATTTCCAATAGTTGATATTTAATGGCTATATCTAGTACATTTGGTCAGAACTTCTTTTTTGAACCAAACATTTTGTACCCACAAAGTGCTCAGCACTGGAAAACTAGTTCTTCCATGAATGCACATGGAGCTTTTATTTAATGTGAGTTTTAACTAGAGATTGATTACATCAGTTGCTTCTATATACTTGTTGCTTTTTTACATAAAGAAGATAAGTATTCTCTTTTCTTGAAATCTTTGATGGTTAGTGTTTTGTTTAAACCCTTGCCAGAAGGATGCTGTTTCTTTTCTACTAGGTAAAAATCCAAGAGAACTATGGTATCTCATTGTAGTGAAAGAGTCAGTAGCAGCACTATAGAATTACACTAAACTAGCTTTGTTCATCTGACTGATATAAAATATTTTAGTCTCTGTTGAAATGGTAGCTCTTACAATAAAAAGTTATGGAAGAGTCTTGAATTTATAACAGAGTGTTAACTACCTGATGTAGCTGAACATCTGAATTTTTTATTATAAAATTATCTTTGGTAAATATTTTTTTGGTATTGGTATTAATAGTAGTAGTATATATTTCCCTTTATGATAACAAAGGGGCTTCCCTGGTGGCTCAGATGGTAAAGAGTCTGCCTGCAGTGCGGGAGACCCAGGTTCGATCCCTGGAGAAGGAAATGGCTACCCATTCCAGTAATCTTGCCTGGAAAATCCCGTGGGCGGAGGAGACTGGTAGTCCATGGGGTCGCAAAGAGTCGGACACGAATGAGCGGCTTCACTTTCACTTTATGATAACAAACTTTATGATATGGTTTAATTTAATTTCAAAACAGTAATGTTCTTATCAAACTACTGTATTAAGCAGAAGTGAAATAATGTATCATGTAAATGACCTTTTTTAAAATTAGTTAGCCTATTGCTTAAACTGAAAAATATATGCCATTACCCCTAAGAGACATTGTGACTTGAAGTTAGATTTATGTTAAAATTTCAATTCTAGAGCTTTTTTTAAAAGCATTGGGCAGCAGGTTAACCAGTTTGCACCCCAGTTTCTTCTTCTTCTCTAAAACGTACATGCAGATCCTTTTCTGTCAGTGCATTTGGGAGAATCCGATCAGCTAGTATGTGAACATAGTTTCTGAAACAAAGTGCTTATATGAACAATATTTTGACAGTTGCTCTTTTATGGTAATTGGAAGATAAAAAGAATTTAAGTACTTGAGTTTTAAAAAATATCCCTTCCACATGATAACATTTTCAGTATTACTAGTATATGTTCAAGAAGCATCATTCAAGTATAATATAAACTTTATAATTTTGAATTCAATAATGAGCCTCTTTTGTTAAACTCTTCTATACAACAGTGGTATGAATTGAACATTTTTTGTGCTTTATATATATATATTTTTTCTACATCCTAAATGATATAGGTGTATGTTTTTATAGGTTTGCCTGAATCCATCATTGCGGCTGCATGTTCAAGAAGTGGCCAGAGGGTTCTGCATGTTGATTCGTAAGTTTATCAGTGGTAGCATTTGATACTTCCTAAATATCTCTATACAAAATTAAAATTTAAATATACATACACATGTGTGTACATGTATATGTCCAGTATAAACTTTTAAAGTTAGAAAAATTATTAGAATTGTTTAATTTTCACAAAAAACATGTGAAATATATAATGTACGGGTTCTCCTATTATAGTCTGTGAAATAGTGATCTCTTTCCTTTGAGTATAAACCAGTATATGTTCAAGAAGCATCATTCAAGTATAATATAAACTTTATAATTTTGAATTCAATAATGATTTTGATTCATAATATGATTCATATGATTCATAATAATGAATTCAATAATGAATTCAATAATAATTTTATTTTTCACATTGATGATTTTGTTTTTCTAAATGATAAGTAATTTTCCACAAGGCTTGGAAACATACTTACCCTTTTAATCATATGTATGTGGGTATGTAAACCCTGTATATGCTGTTGTATTTTAGATGTGGCATATGATAGTTGAAGTAATCAGCTAATAGAGTATGTGGTTTGCTTGAAAAATCTTAACTAAGAGTTTTCTAAAATATTTAGAATTTTCCCCCCTTTTCCTTAAATGTGATGATAAAAGGAAGTAAATGGAAAATTCAACTTTAAGGTAAAGTATAAATCTTTCCATTCCTGCTTCCTTCAGAAACAAACTCTTAACTTTCCACCTATCTATTTAATGCTTTTGACCTTTGTATTGGTACTTTAATTGTTCATTAAATTGGAGTAGAAAGGAAACACGAAATAATGACTTTGTATTTTCTGTTTGATAGTAACAGGTTTTTCAAAATGCCAGAATGCAAAGAATAGCTAGATTTGTTACAGCTTACTGTGCCTTCTCATATATTATCCCATTGTAAGTATGTAGGAATCCAAAAGTGGTATTAGTTCATTTACCCTTTCTAAAGTTATTTTCAAAATATATTAATTCCCCAGTCATTGAATGAAATTTCTAAATTGAGTTACTTTCTGTTCTTAAGTCCTGCCCTTGGAATTCTCTTTCACTGTTATGTGCACACACATACACCACAGTAATTGCTCAGTTGTGTCTGACTCTTTGCGACTGTAGCCCACCAGGTTCCTCTGCCCATGGGGGTTCTCCAGGCAAGAATACTGGAGTGGGTTGTCATGCACTCCTCCAGGGGATCTTCCCAACCCAGGCATCGAACCCAGGTCTTTTGCATTGCAGGTGGATTCTTTACCATCTGAGCCACCAGGGAAATCTGTTATGTGTGCAACTGCTGTGTTAATGTCTTAATTCAGTCTTTTTGACATATGGATTCACATGCCAAAAAAGGTGCTGCCTTGAACGCTGAGGTACTAGACTAGTATGCTTTAAAAAGGCTTAATAAGAACATAAATTCAAATTTGTTTCTGATAACATTAATTAACCTAAAACTGAAAATAAAATCTCAAATTTCCCAAAGTTATCTCTTGTGTTTGCACTGTAATGTACTTCCTGTATCAGCTTCTTTACATATGTAATTTAATTCCCATCACAGCCAAGTGAGGGTGGTGTTATCCTAATTTAACAAATGGGAAATGTGGGGCATAGTGAGGTTAAGTAATAATTCTAACTTTACCCAGCTAGTGCATGTTTTTTTCTAAAACCCGAGATCTTCCCAGAATGAAGAATATTTTATAAATCACATAGGGTTTACTGATAATATAAAATAAGTTTTGATTAGGAATATAACAAGTTAAATCTAACTTTGATAAGCAGTGGGTCAGTTAGAAAGACTTGATAATGTTAAAAACTTATACCTTAATAAGTAGTATTTCAAGCTGACAAAACTTTTTTCTTCTATTTTAGATCCTCACACTTGGTAGCTTTTGAGAGTTTAGATACATCTGGATATTGATTTATAAGATGGTTTTCTGCTCTATGCCACGCTTAAATATTTTCTCATTTTTATTCATTTTTGCCATTATGGCTCTTCATGTTGCTGTTGCTGTTTGTTGTTCAGTTGCTCAGTCATGTCCAACTCTTTGCAACCCCATGGACTGCAGCATACCAGGCTTCCCTGTCCTTCACCATCTCCTAGAGCTTGCTCAAACTCCTGTCCATTGATTCAGTGATGCCATCCAGCTATCTCTGTTGTCCTCTTCTCCTCCTGCCTTCAATCTTTCGCAGCATAAAGGTCTTTCCTAATGAGTTGACTCTTTGCATCAGGTGGCCAAAGTATTGGTGCTTCAGCTTCAGCATCAGTCCTTCTAATGAATATTCAGGATTGATTTCCGTCAGGGTTGACTGGTTTGATCTCCTTGCATCCAAGGGACTCTCAAGAGTCTTCTCCAGCACCACAGTTCAAAATCATCAATTCTTTGGTGCTCAGCCTTCTTTATGGTCCAACTCTCACATCTGTACATGACTACTGGAAAAACCATAGCTTTGACTATATGGACCTTTGTCAGCAAAGTAGCATCTCTGCTTTTTAATATGCTGTCTAGGTTAGTCATAGCTTTTCTTCCAAGGAGCAAGTGTCTTTTAATTTCATGGCTACAGTCACCATCTGCAGTGATTTTGGAGCCCCCCAAAATAAAGTCTCTCACTGTTTCCATTGTTTCCCCATTTATTTGCCATGAAGTGATAGGACTAGTTACCATGATCTTAGTTTTTTGAATGTTGAATTTTAAGCCAGATTTTTCACTCTCCTCTATCACGTTCATCAAGAGGCTCTTTAGTTCCTCTGGTTTCTGCCATAAGGTTGGTGTCATCTGCATATCTGAAGTTACTGATATTTCTCCCAATAATCTTGATTCCAGCTTGTGGTTCTTCCAGCCCAGCATTTCTCATGATGTACTCTGCATGTAAGTTAAATAAGCAAGGTGATAATATATCTCCTTGATGTATTCCTTTGCCAATTTGGAACCAGTCTGTTGTTCCATGTCCAGTTCTAAATGTTGCTTCTTGACCTGCATATAGATTTCACAGGAGGCAGGTAATGTTGTCCGGTATTCTCATCTCCTTCAGAATTTTTCACAGTTTATTGTGATCCACACAGTCAAAGGCTTTGGCATACACAATCAAGCAGAAGTATATGCTCTTCTGGAATTCTCTTGCTTTTTCAATGATCCAGTGGATGTTGGCAATTTGATCTCTGGTTCCTCTGCCTTTTCTAAAACCAGCTTGAACATCTGGATGTTCTCAGTTCATTTACTGTTGAAGTCTAGCTTGGAGAATTTTCAGCATTACCTTGCTAGTGTGTGAAATGAGTGCAATTGTGTGGTAGTTTGAACATTCTTTGGCATTGCCTTTCTTAGGGACTGGAATGAAAACTGACCTTTTCCAGTCCTGCAACCACTGCTGAGTTTTTCAGATTTGCTGGCGTATTGAGTGCAGTACTTTCACAGCATCATCTTTTAGGACTTGAAACAGCTCAGCTGGAATTCCATCACCTTCACTAGCTTTGTTCGTAGAGATGCTCCTAAGGCCCACTTGACTTTGCTTTCCAGGATGTCTTGCTCTAGGTGAGTGATCACACCATTGTGGTTATCTGGGTCATGAAGATCTTTTTTTGTATAGTTTTTCTTTGTATTCTTGCCACCTTTTCTTAATAGATTCTGCTTCTGTTAGGTCCATACCCTTTCTGTCCTTTATTATGCCCATCTTTGCATGAAATATTCCCTTGGTATCTCTAATTTTCTTGAAGAGATCTCTAGTCCTTCCCATTCTATTGTTTTCCTCTATTTCTTTGCATTGATCACTGAGGAAGGCTTTCTTATATCTCCTTGCTATTCTTTGGAACTCTGCATTCAGATGGGTTTATCTTTGCCTTTCTCCATTGCCTTTCACTTCTTCATAGGGAAAGGAGAAGATAAATAGAAGATTCATAAGGAAAGAAGATTCAGTCTTTCCCTAGTCCTTTTATTTCCTTTTTTTTGTTTTAGTTTTCTCCTTTGAGTTTTATTGTATAAAATTGACATACGGTACTGTATAAGTGTAAGGTATATAGCATAATGATTTGATTTACATCATGAAATGATTAGCACAGTAAGTTCAGTGTGCTAATATAGATTAAAGAAATAGAAAAAATTAAATTAAAAATTAAAGAAATAGAAAAAAATTTTCCTTGTGATGAGCAGTCTCAACTTTCATATATAACATAAAGCAGTGTTAAGTTATATTTGTCGTGTTGTAGATTATGTCCCTAGTACTTAGTTATAAGTATTAGGGATGTAATATCCCTATTGAACCTTTTGACTGCCTTCATACAGTACCCCCTCCCACAGCTGCCCCACCTCCAGTCTCTGGCACCAGATACCTTTTTTCCTATGTCTAGTCCTTTTATTTGTGCTTTACATCTACAATAGTACCATATATCCCTGTTCTATGTACATAGCTTCCCATGCTTTATAAAAAAATAACCTTTAAATTGTAGTTTAAAAAAAAGTAACATAAAACTTGCCATCTTAACTATTTCTAAGCATATACAATTCAGTAGTGTTGAGTATATTCCTAATTGTTGTATAGCAGATCTTTAGAACTCTTTTGATGTTATAAACCTGAAACACTATGCCCATTAAACAATAACTCCCCATTCCTCTTCCTCCCAGCTCCTGGCAACTCTCATTTTACTTTCTGTCTCCATAAATTTTACTTCTCTAGATACCTCATATAGGCTTCCCAGGTGGTGCTAGTGGTAGACATGAGACAAGGAGTTCAATCATTGGGTCGGGAACATCCCCTGGAGGAGGGCATAGCAACCCACTCCAATATTCTTGCCTGGAGATTCCCCATGCAAACAAGAGCCTGGCGGGCTATAGTATGTGGGGTCGCATAGAGTCAGACCACTGCAACGGCTTAGCACACATGCACACAGATACCTCATATAGTGGAAATTAGATATTATTTGTCTTTTTGTAACTGGCTTATTTCACACAGTATAAGTCCTCAGGGCTCATCTATTTTGTATCATGTGTTAGAATTTCCTTCCTTTTTAAGATTGAATAATATTCCATTGTATGT